CACTGCTCTGTACGTTAGTCTATGCAAAAATAGTTCAAACATTGGAAAACACTTAAAAATTTCACGCACCAGCACATAAAAGCTGAATTCGAAACCTTGAAGGATGAATATCTTTCCGTGATTCCCGAGTTAATATTTACCTACCAAAATTTTCACTAGCCAGTAGGTGGTACCCGAGAGCGCGAGAACGCTGAATTTGAATGGGCAAGGTTGAGCGTGGGCAGAGGGTCATTACCCTAAAATTTCAGCCTCCTAGACTCCCGGTTCCTGAGACATTAATTTACCCGTTAAAAACTTTCACGGGACTGTACTTGTTACCCGAGGGCACGGGAAGGCTGGATTTAAATTTGCCAGTCACCCGTTGGCGAGGAACACTATACCAAAATTTCAGCCGCCCAGCTTTTGTAGTTCCCGAGTTGAAAGTGCGGGACAAAATGTGGGACACACACACAAACACACACACACACACACATACAAACAAACACACACACGCACACACCCAGACAACCCCGTGACAATATGCGTTTTGTAACGCTCAAAACGCTTAAAAAAATGTCAGTCAACTGCTTGCATTATAAGAAAGTAGATGACTAGTCCGGGCGGTTTTCAGACAGAGGCGAATATCCGCTGCGCAAGCGGTGGGTAATAACTGGAAATATGTCGGTCAGGATTGAAGAACTTAGTATAGCTGCACGTGATATGCGGAAGCATTCCAGTAATATTACCAACAACACACTCCCATACAGACAGCTCGAGTGGTCTCGGTTATTAGCAAAGTGGAGCGCAAAACACAAGAGAGTAGACGGCAAAGCTGAAATGCCCTTCTGTCCCTGTTGGGAGCTGCAGCACAGCACGAACGCCTAGAAACAACAATCAGAATAAGGGGTTTCAAATAAACTTAAGCAATATTTAAAAGATTTTACCTGACTTTCAAAACCTCCTCCGCCACCACCGTATCCTCCACCACCTTGATATCCACCATGCCCGCCGTATCCTCCACCACCTTGATAGCCTCCTCCACCGTATCCTCCACCGCCCTGATAGCCGCCTCCGCCATAACCCCCGCCACCTTGATAGCCACCTCCGCCATAACCCCCGCCACCTTGATAGCCGCCTCCGCCGTATCCCCCACCACCCTGATAGCCGCCTCCGCCGTATCCTCCAGCACCCTGATAGCCACCTCCACCGCCATATCCACCACTGCCCTGGTAGCCTCCACCCCCTTGGTATCCACCTCTACCATAGCTATCCTGTGGTCCTCCTCGACCACCTCGCCCACCACCACCTTGATACCCGCCTTGCTGCCCACCTGAAAGTAAGACGTCATTTTTCGAATAAAAGCCAGCTATTATGAGAAAGCAGACTGTTTTAAAATCCAGAAAAACACACATACTTCCACTTGAGGCCAATGTTATACTCAGGACCGAAAAGGTGTTTGTTTACCGTACTAGAATTTTTGGCCACTAAAAAAACTCAGCAAATGATAAGTAATTGCTTCAACACGTCATTATAAAGGTGGGGATTAGAAAAAATTTTTCAAAATTAAATAAAAAGGAGTCTATCTCCTTGCTTTCGAACCAAGCTCAAAAAAAAGAAGTTCGGAAATCTTGCTAACTTGTCCAATGAACACTGTGATAAAATAGAAACTTATTCAAATTAATGTCAACTGATTCATTACTGTGCATTTCACCGTACTACTGTTTTGCGAAGATGCGTTTTTTGCATAGTTCCCTGCAGTTTTTGTCGCTACTGGCGCCGGTTTTTCCGGCAAATGCTTCTAGCTCAACAAATTAAGACTGGCCGCCAGAACTGTCAGGAAACACCCCTTTAAAATTCCAGTTTTCTAACTTTCCTGGTTCCTGAGTTAGCAAGTTACTGGAAAAAAACTTCCACGGGCCCATGCGTGGGTGCTACTCATATCCGATGTTTCGGTTTGAGCTCGTTAAGATTTACATGGACAGGGAACACCCTTTTAATGCTACACTCTTCTAACTTTTCAGTTCTCGAGTTAGCAAGTTACCCGAGGAAAAATTGGTGAGCCCGTGCGTGAATATCGCGCATACCCGACGGCTGGGTCTGAGCTGAATGAGACCTAGGTGGATAGCGAATGTCCTCATAGAATTAAAGTCCTTCAGCTTTTCAGGTACTCGAGTTATCAATTTACCCGAAAGAAACTTTGGCGGGCGCGTACGGGGGTATCACGCTTTTCCGTGGGCTGGGCTTGAGCTCATTAATACTCACTTGGACGGGGAACATCACCTTACGATTTCAGCTTTTTAGCATCTCAGATCCCGAGTTATGAACTTACCCGAAGAAATTTTGGCGGGCCCGTACGCGGGTACCACGCTTACTCGGGGGCTAGTTTTGAGCCCATTTAGAGTTACGTGAACGGGGAGCATCCCCTTAAAATTTCTGCTTCTAGCTTTTCTGGTTCGCAAGTTAGCAACATACCCGCAAAGAACTTTCGTGGGCCGTACGTGGATACCACGTGGGAAAGACCACTCATTTTGGGGAAGGGGGCCCGGAAATGCATGTAGATTAAGCTCCCAAAGTTTCAGCCCTGTAGCTTTTGTAGGTCTTGAGATGAAAAATCGGTACTGAGGCCCAACGCACATAAACATACACACAAACACACCCACAACCTCTTGTCAATATGCGTTTTTCGCATTGCATAGCTGCAAAAACGCATAAAAAGGAGCCTATCTCCTTGCTTTCGAACCAAGCTCAGAAAAAAGAAGTTCGGAAAACCTGCTAACTTGTCGAATGAACACTGTGATAAAATAGAAACTTATTCACAGTAATGTCAGCTGATTCATTACTGTGCATTCCATTGTACTACTATCTTCAATTTCTACCAAATACACACTATTCCCGGCAATTTCATGTTTCTTTCATCTTGGCACATGTGGCTGTCGACAAAAACTACATTACTACTTGCAACATAATCTCATGCCTCGTTGGAGGCTGCTTGAACGACTGCTTACTGCTGCGGCATTATCTTAAATTCACCGAATATTTACAGTAATTTGATGCATTTTCGATTATCAGAAAGGAAATAAGCATTTTCGACTATCAGCCCACCAAATTTCCACATAGACTTTTCTTTTTCTCGAAATTTTAGATTTACCTCACAAAATTCTTATATAGCTTGGAACAGCTGTAACTCATAATCTAATTTCCCAATAGCTTCTCCGGTTGCTCAGATGAACGTCGTATGACTGTCAAATTATCGGAATTTTCTACGTTTTTTCTGCTTCCATGACCTGCCCAACGAAAGTACCTGGCAAATCAACAGCCGTTCCGAGCTGCTCACCAGCACTATGCTCCGAACACACTGCTATTCTCAAATTACCAACTAGGATTTGCAACGTGCACATCAGTTAAAACGTACCTCCAGGGGCGCGATCCTTTTTCCACGATGGCATTTCTGGTGGCGGAGCTCGCAACTCGGACGGCCTACCACCACGATCACCCGGACGATCGGCCATTAGCACCTGTAAAAAATTTTAATTATAATAAACGAAGTAATTACTTCAGATTTCTTAGCTGCGCATAAACAAAAAAAAGCATGCCTTGTTTAAACGTGTTGCTGTACGTTTTCGTTCTTTTTCACTGATCACTTTATCAACGGTGAGAAGGCTAACAGTTGCTGCAAGGAGATCGCACATCGATACTTTTGAAGCTACAGGAATTCGATCACGACGTTGCCGATAAGTTTCATGGAGTTTGTCCTGAAAATTGCGATTGAATTGCTGCAAATGAAGTTTTCTCTTGATAGAAAACAACAAAGGAATACACAAATGCAACGAATTTCTTGAAACATGAACTTCTTTTTTATTATTACAACTGCTAAGGCAGCCCAGACAAAGGATAGCCGTGCTACTGCAACGCAAACACGTGTCCAG